AAGAGCTTATTTTGTTTAGAAAAAAAGAGCATCTTTAGTAAAGACTTCAGTCTCCATGCTACTGAATGGCATTATATGAACAATACTTATACTTATATATGATTATATACTTATAAAAAAGTTACACAAATAATGATATACTTATTTAAAAATGAGAAAATAATGAGAAAAAATGAACACAATTAATCATGCTGACCCCATATGTAAATGAATTAAAAATGGGGTTTCTACCCATTTATGTAATCGCTAAAAAAGCCTGAAGAATCTTTTTCAGGAGTCCATAGTTAAAGTAACTCACAACGGCTAAAGATGTCTGTTTGCATTTTATATCCAACAATAAACAATCTTAGATGGGGCGCAAAAATTAGCTCTAGCTCTGAAGTGCCTTCAAATTTATCTTGGACAGACTGACAAACATATGTTCAATGGCATGGAAAAACAAAAACAATATATTGATTCTAAAGACACTTTTTGTATATTTAAAACTTTACTTATCTGCCACAATTATGACATCTTCATTTAAGGGCTTTTTTATTATTATTAAATATAACTAAATATAATTACCTTGCACTAATGTTCAAGTGTTTGGTTCAATAACCTTTTTTTAAGGAATTTTATTTATTTTATTATTTCAAGACACATTACATTGATCAAAAGTGACAGTAAAGACATTTATAACGTTTAAAAAAATTCAATTTCAAATATCTATTTTAAATATCGATTTCTGTATCTATTTCAAATAAATGCTGTTCTTTTGAACTTCATATTCACCAAAAAACATATTTTCCACAAAAAATATGAAGCAGCACAACTGTTTTCAACACTGATAATAATAAATGTTTCTTGAGAAGCAAATCAGTATATTGATTTATATTAAGTAAATGATTTCTGAAAGATCATGTGACACTGAAGACTGGAGTAATGATGCTGAAAATTCAGCTTTGCATCACAGGAATAAATTACTTTTTTTATAAATATATAAAAAAAAAAATATTTTAAATTGTAACAATATTTCGCAATATTAGCATTTTTACTGTATTTACATGTATTAAATGAATGCAGCCCTGGTGAGCATACGAGACTTCAAAAACATTAAAATATCTTATAAACCAACCCCAAACTTTTGATCAGTGTATAAGCAATGACAAATTTGCTTTCTATATCAAGTTAAATGTAGATGAAGATTCCTGTAAGGATGTACTGTATGATGGTATATTTATAAAACAAGAAAAAAAATTAATAAATTAAATTTGTTTGATCAAATTTAAATACTTCAAATGCCTCAGTAAAATAACAGTCTGCTGCACCATGACCGAGTTACACTTAAGTTGTTTTTGTTTGGTGCTGCTCCTCTAAGAAACCCTGAGCTGGAACCCGAGCACTTGACCCTCCTTAAGAATACAAAAAAACACAAAAAAGCCTGAAAAAGAAACAAAATGGGAGGCTATTGGGAGCCCTCATATCTCATCTCTATTAACGGGTTTACTAGTGACCCCAGGGGTGCTCGTAAAAGTTTACGCCCAGGTTTCAGACCGAGTCCCCTCTGAAAGAATGAAAGAAATGGGTTAGTTTATGGTTCGCCTTCGGGGTTTTACTGCATGTTTTACTAAAGCTCTCGTTTTAACAGACCCTGGTTCTAATTAGCCAGGCAGTGGCACCGCGGCCGGCCCAAAACCTTCCTTTCTTCTCTGAGGGAGAAAGTGAGAGAGCGAGCGCACGAGAGAGACTGTAATTGACTGTTGATCTGGGAGGACACACGCAGGTCAGGCTGGGAGGTGAAGTAGACCAGTATTCGCTGAGATATGCTGCCACTTCAGGAATGTAATGAACAGCTCCAGTCATAAAACGCTGGGCCCCGTATTTCATATCTTTTCTAAACACATTTGTGGTGCAGAGGGTAAATCTGTGTTACCTCGGCCGTCAGGAATGTCTTCACTGAGAGAGGAGAGAGCACATCATCCCAGATGAAACAGAAAGCCGAGTGCTTTCAGCAAGTGCTACGACTGTAAAAAGGAGAGAGGGGTTATCACACGTCACAACACAAGAAATATGAACAAAGAGTATGTTAGAATCAGGGCTGGGAGCGTTACTTTTAAAAGTAGAACTTTACACTATTATGTTACTCTTAAAATGTTACTTTGCATTCCTTATTTGGCTAAGTGGCACTGCAGGGGTCCAACTATTGTTCTGTAAGTAATGTTTGTGAAAAAAAAATACAAATAAAATGAAAGTTTAAAATTAAAATACCACGTTAACTTCAACCAAAGCTACAGTGTAGACAATTTTTTTCTTTGTCAGTAAGTAAATGTTCTATGTAGCAAGTAAAATTTTAATGTAAAGTACAAGCATTATTGCCCTTTGTGAAAAAGAAGTGCACTTAATTCTATTGAAAGGACACAAATCTTGAGAAAAAAATAAAATAAAAAAAAACTTCAGGTGAGTAGACTTTCATGACTGTTTTATATAAATATAATAATATAATACAAGTTTTAACTTAAAGCAAATTTAAAATAATTGTTTTAACAATATTTCATCATGGTTTTTAGAAGTACACTTATTTTTTGTTTTGACTAACATACTAAAGCACATATAAAGTACTTGATATTAATATTAACTGAAGTGTTATTTAATATTACATTTTAAAATAATATAATTTAAATAACTAAACTGCAACTTCATCATTATAAATGCATTTGAATACAAATATTTAAATACAATACATTCAAATTTCCTTTGAATAAACAAACAAACAAATAAATAAATAAATACCGTTTTTTTTTTTGTTTACCTTAAATGCAGTCAGTACATTCGGCAGTACCATATACAGATAGATAGATAGAGAGAGAGAGAGAGAGAGAGAGAGACAGACAGACAGACAGACAGACAGACAGATAGATAGATAGATAGATAGATAGATAGATAGATTGATTTTCCGGCCTTTTCTGGTCTTAGATACATCCAGAAGACTGTTGAGAAACGAACAAGCACAATAATGAATGATTGCACACAGGTTTCATAGAGAGCTCAGTATTAAGTGAGGAATGCACCACTGAGGACGTCCTGTGGCATGTCTGTTATTCATATCTGTCATTGTGTCATTCAGATAGACAGAAGACGGCAATCTGCCAAAGAGGGAGATCCTGTGAGAACGGAGAGGGACAGACATGAATTATGGAACATGACACACAACACGTTCATGCGTTCCAGCAGAGGGTGAAGAAGGTAAAGTGCCTTAAGCATTCTCACGGGCAGCCCAGCCGGGTCCTTCACACACACCATCAAGCAAACATCGTCTCAGGGGGCGGATGTGTGCCAAACTGCCCCAGATCAGCAGCTCGGCCAGGCTCTCTTCTCCCACTAGGCTAAACTAATGGCCACAGCCAAGATACCAACACTCGCTTGCTTCAGGGGACAACTGGACACGTCTCCTGTCTCATGTTCTCATGTTCTCATGTCGCTGTAGCTCCAGTGATATTTTGCGTCAGCTGGGTGGGTCACACAGTCATTAACAGAAATGCACAAAACCCATTTTTTTCTTGGTAGAGATTTAACAAAACTGGGATGGGTTTCCAGAAGCACTAAGTAGAACATTATTAGTGCTTAAACTTCACAGCAAGCTTCCCAAAAGCATCATTTACTTTAAGAATCACAAAAATAATGTTAGCTTTGGACCACATGTGAGATCTTTCAGTTAATACACTCTCAAGAAAAGTACAAAATCTGTGACTTGGGCAGTACCTTTTCAAAAGCTACTAATATGTACAGTGTAGGTACTCTTTAGGCATTAATAAGGTACACAAGAGCACATTTAAAAAAAAAAAAGTACCGCCCAGCTTTTTTATTTTATTTTTCTGAGAGATGAAAATGAAAAAAAAAAATATATATATATATATATATATATACAGCCTTGATGAGCATAAGACTCCACTATTTATATATACATTGCAATTTAAAATAACAGTTTTCTGTTTTACTATACTTTAAAATATAATTTATTCCTGTGAAGGAAAGCTGAATTTTCAGCATCATTTAGATCCAAAACTTTTCAACTGCACTGTATATATTTGAAAAATATTTCACATCAATACTCCACAGTCCAATAAAACATTCAATATGCCTGATTTTATAGATTTTATATAAGACAATACATGTGAACTTGCAAATAATATTGAACAAATTGGTAACACTTAACAATAAGGTCTTATTAGTCAATGCATTAACTAACAATGAGGAATACAGTTGTTACATGATTTATTAATCTCTGTTAACATTAGTTAATAAAATCACAACTATTCATTAGTTCATGTTAGCTCAAATTCATTAAATATTATTAACATATAACAATTTTTGAAAATTATAATGTATTGGTAAATGTTGAAATTAACATTAAGATTAATAAATGCTTCAGAAGTATTCTTCATTGTTAGTTGAACTAATATTAACAAATGAAACCTTACTGTAAAATGTTACCAATAAATTATTTATTTTTATTGAAATGCTTAAAATGAATGCTTAGAGAAATGTTAGATAATATATATATATATATATATATATATATATAGTTCACTAATGCACTGATGGCATCATCGTAATGCTCCTTTATGTGCATCTGTTAAGTTTCTAATCAACTGTAGGATTAATGATAATGACAGAGCCTCTTATAATGACTCATAATGATGTATATTCCCTTCACATAGATGTATCTTAGGCCACTTAAATTAATCTCCAAAAGATGACATGTAATTTCCATGTTTGGCAGGATTTTCCTGTTGGGGAGACAATCCTGGACATATTAGTGAAAGTTTAACACCTATGGGCCGAACAGTCCAGATCCTCTTCATCAGTAAGTGTGTTCATTCTCGCAGGGGTTTGTATTAATGATGATGCTTCTCATCCTTATCATTGCAGGTCAGCTCTGCTCTCCAGGTAAATGGTTCTGGTGGAGGGTTATGAATGGGGTAGAGGTAACGTTTCGGTTGGAGCTTAATCAGAGTTTGGCTCAAGTCTGACACTTTTTGGAAAGTATGTTTGCATAATATTTCTTTTTGCAAATTAACTGCTCTAGACAGTTCCTGCGTCACAGAGCAGAAAGAGATACCACTGCTTAAAGCTTCATGGCTCAAAGTTTGCTCTTTCATTTTGAGAAATGTGTTTTTTTTTTGTTTTTTTTTTGTCCAATCGAAGTCAGTAGGGTCCAGTGTTGTTCGGTTCCCAATATTCTGCAAAATATAATCTTTAAATAGTTCAAATAATGACAACATTTTCATTTTTGGGTGAACTATCCCTTTAATTTAGTGTTCAACTTTGTCTCAGATGTTTCTCCTAAAATTCCTCAAGAAAAATTAGAAATGAGACAGTGTAGAGCAGCTCAGATCATTTAGTCTTGGGAGAATTTGGGTGATATTATTATTATTATTATTAACTAAAACTAAATCTATTAACTATTTTTGGAAACTGAAATCTGAGCTAAATAAAATAAGCTAAAATAAAATAAGATAAGCTAAAATAAAATAAAATGAAGTATTGGATTAAAAACGTAAAGAAAAATTAGAAATGCTGCTTTGGCAACTACAACTGAAATAAATAAATGAAAGTACTAAAATGATCAAAACTTAAAACTTAAATAATAATAATAATAATAATAAAAATTTAAAAATAGAAATATGTAAATACTAATAAAGATAACCGAAGCATGACAAAATTACTAAAATTAAAAATTAAAATTGAAAATATAAAATTAAAAACTTAAAGGAAAATTAGAAATGCTGCTTTGGCAACTATAACTGAAATAAAAAAGTTGAAGTACTAAAATTACCAAAACTTAAAACTGAAATAATAATAATAATAATATAATAATAATACTAAAATGATCAAAACTTAAAACTTAAATAATAATAATAATAATAATAAAAATTTAAAAATAGAAATATGTAAATACTAATAAAGATAACCGAAGCATGACAAAATTACTAAAATTAAAAATTAAAATTGAAAATATAAAATTAAAAACTTAAAGGAAAATTAGAAATGCTGCTTTGGCAACTATAACTGAAATAAAAAAGTTGAAGTACTAAAATTACCAAAACTTAAAACTATAATAATAATAATAATAATAATAATAACAATAACAACAATAATAATAATAATAACTAAAAACTAGAAATGTATGTATAAACTAATAAACCAATAAAGATAACAAAAGCACAACATAATTACTAAAATTAAAAATTCAAATTGCAAATATAAAATTAAAAGCCAATTCAAAATATTAATAATTACTATAATAGTATATGAACAATACTAAAATAACACTGGACAATTGGATAAAAAAAATAAAGTTCATAATGAGATCTTAATAATTACTATAAAAGTATATGAACAATACTAAAATAACACTGGAGAATTGGATAAAAAAATAAAGTGCATAATGAGATCTCTGACTTTTGATTACAGACGGTTTCTTGGCAAATCTGCAAGATTTGAGATTACTGATTACTGTATTTTTTTCTAAGAAGTAAAATCTGAGAAGCAAAATGCTTCCATTTAGTCTCATTGATTCCTAAGAGAAACAACGGAGATATTAAAGAGATCTCATTTATTATTTTTTCATATAGGAAGAAAGACTGAAAGACATACTGCATAGAGAAATATGTATGTGTGTTCATGCTCTAGCTGGTCCTCATAAACCAGCGAGGCCTTCCTGTTTGTTATAGCCAATTGTGTTTGCACAAGACCTTCAGTGGACCACAGACCTGGGAGATAGATGTGAAACCAGGAAGACTTCATCCATCAAAGCATTTACAGGACTGAAGGAATAATCTCTTCCAGTCTGCGATGCGATCGCATGTGGTCTGCAGCAGTTGTTGGGGAAATACTTGGTGACATGAATAACTCCACCGTTCTAACACTAGCCTTCCCTTCGAGCAGTGGCGCTCCTCCCGTGCAACCTTGAATCGCAGCCAAACGCATGTGGGTCGGCTTGGTTAATTGACATAACAGGCCCTTCATCTCTGTCTCAGCCTGTAGCGGGTGAAAGAAAGCAAAGTGTTAAGACGTGCTACAAGTGGTCAGCTGACACTTCAAAGCGTCCCGGAGCATGCGATGTCACGCTCGTTGTGTGATGGCTGTAAAGGGGGTTTCTCTGATCCGACTGACAACTACAGCCCCTGTCTTGAGGAGTTTCAAATCCTCTTTTGCTTTCACTGAAGCTCAAGATGCTTCTTAAATCATCTTATGATGGAGAACATGAATCTCAGGTTTTGTTCATGTCAGCTCCAGTGTTGCTGTCATTAAAGCAAAAGGGAGACACACCGAATACTAAGACATTCTCAAATCAATGTTCAATTAAGTGTCTAACCCAAATTGTTATGCATTTGTAAAGAAAAAAAAGAAAAAAAAAAGACTGCATTTGAAAAGATAGCAATAGAAATGTTTTGGACCGCACTCTACAGTGAAACATTCAGGTCGAACGTAAGGAAAAGTGTTTGTGTTTGTACTTGTGTTGTGTACAGATTTACAGACCTGCATGTTTCCCAGCCTCCATACCATGGAGAATTGTGTTTTGATTCATATCCTGCATAAACCATATGATGGCATTCCTCAATGGACTAGTCCAGGAATATTAACCCTCGGTTTCCTGGTAATTATGTTTTAAATTTACACACCATTTGCATTTATGCTCTTGACAGATGCTTTGCTACTAAATAAACTCAAAGGAAAGTTCATATTCTGCTAAGGACAAGCATTTAAGCAAAAAAAAAAAAAAAAGGGGAGTGTGGAGTAATATGCATCAATGGGTAAACAGTGCATGATTTTTGACATAAATTACCATACTTAAAAAAAGATCCATATTCAGCTGTCGGTAGTATATCTTTCTTTCTTTCTTTCTTTCTTTCTTTCTTTGAAATCAATTGAATTTAAGTAATGTATCATGGCAGATAAAATAAAAATTATTTTATAAAAAAGCAAATTGATCAAAACCTACTGTATTTGACCATTCAAAAGCTAAGGGTCGGTAAGATTGGTCTCTAACGCTCATCAAGGCTGCATTTATTTAATCAAAAATACAGTAAATATTGTGAAATATTATTACCCTTTTTAAAGTTTTTATTTTTTTATTAAAGTTTTTATAAATTTTATTTATTATATTTTAAAGTGTTATTTATTCAAGAGATGCAAAGCTGAAATTTCAGCATCATTACTCCAGTTTTCAGTGTTACTTGATCAGAAATTCAGAAATCATTCTAATACACTTATACACAACAACCCCCCCCCCCCACACACATATTTGTATGGTTTATGGGGACTCTCCATAGGCGTAATGGTTTTTATACTGTACAAACTGTATTTTCTATCGGCCTTCACCAACCATACACCTAAAACTACCCCTCTCAGGAAACTTTCTGTATTTTTAGATTAAAAAAAAAAAGAAAGAAAATAAAAAACATTCTGTATGATTTATAAGCCTTTTGAATTAAGGGGACACTGAAAGTGTCCTCATAAATCAACTTCACATTGTAATACCTATGTCATACCCATGTCATTATACAAAATTTGTGTCCTCATAAACCACATAAACATGGACAGACACACACAAACATACACTCACTCTTGCATATGTGGTTTAAGGGGACTCTCCATAGGCGCGCACGCTTGAAAATACTACTACAAAATGTACAAAAATTTACATTTTATGCTAAATGTTTTTCTGGTTGTCTTTATAAAATTCTAGATCATGTGCAGAAAGCATCCGTGTATACCCCAATTACTGAACGCAAACCTTGGCATAACACAGTTTAGCCATCAAACACTTACAACCTAACACTTAAAACAGTAGGCATGTATGTTTAACTAGTTAATTTCTCCTTGACTAGAGGACACTTAAGTAAAGGTGTCGCCCACTCTCCCTTAGCCAGCATTTTCATTTGGCTGTTAAATCGCCAGCTACAAGGGAAATCCTAACCCCTCGAATTTTATTCAAAGAGGGCCGGGAAACGCACGCACAGCACAGGCTGCCTCCCGCGGCTCCTGAAGGGATTTGGAGAGGAGAGCGGTAAAGCTCGGCTTTATTACGTCTAATACGGCTGGGTACCCAGCGAGCACTTGGGGAGGCACAGAGACATAATTATATCCCTTCTCTGTGCCGTCGGCCTGCATTAGCGTCTCCTCTCCTTCAGCGTCCGCGACAGAGACAAATGAGGGAGTTTTTCCAGCTCGGCCGGCTCATCCGTAACTGCCAGTTCCGTGCAATAGATCACCGCAGTTAAACGTGGCAATAGATCACGGCGTAAAGCAGACTCGCTCCCCGACGGAGAGCCGCTACAGATCAGTAGCTGCCTAATGCACATGTAGGTAAGAGTCAAGTCACGTTAGTTGACACCCACATGCCCATTAAGCCCCATATAAATGAGATTGTGCCGCCACGCCAACCTTGGGCACAGAACAGCTTTGGCATTTACAGTAAATTATGGGATCGGTGACATTTTGACCTTGCGCTAAAACGTCCGAGCTGTTGTGCACCGATGACAAAAGACAGCGTGTAAACGAAGGCACTTAATATGCAACACATTGCGGCAGCGGGAAATTAGCCGATAAGAATTCTGCAGCATCCATTCTTTGTTTGTTTCTTAATTAGCGGAAAAGAACAGACATCTCTAAATAGCAAAAAGTGTTTTTTTTTAATATGCTGTTAGTAAGGCAGCGAATTAGCACTGCTGCAAGCATTCAGGATTTCAATTAATTCACATCAACACAGATGTTCCGTCCTGTCTCCTAAATGCAGGCTAATTCTTATGCTAATGGATGTCAACAGACAGACACACAGCAGTAATAATGAAACGCTAGCAGGAAAACAAAGCTCTGTGAAGCAACAGCAGAGACGTCAGGCCAAGGTTTTCCTCGCTATTTTTAACAGACATCTCAATCGCTTGCGCCAGTGTGACCGGAGGGTTTCTCAGAAGCTTGAACTTGTCATAGTAACAAAGAGCTGGTCATCTGGCCTCTGACACTGTA